GGGATCGCATTTTGTACGTGCATCCTTATCGGCTCGCGTGTACATGACGTCATTGTGATTTATACCGTAGTTGTGTGTGCTGTGTGTGTTTGCCTGCCTCACTGCATTCACTTCCTCCACCCCGACCTCCAAAAGAGGGGGGGGAAAAAAAAAAAAACTACGAATGACATGCAACTTATGACTCAATAGAGGTGAAAAGAAAAACGTTTCCTGTGCTTTCCAGTCCAAACTTTTTTTTTCTTTTCTTTTTCCAAGAGTTACATTGTCTGGATGCTTTCTTCTTTTTCCACAAACACATCCACCTCCCTTCTTGCTACCCTCTGTGCACCGTTTTTGTCTGTGACCTCGACTCATCGGGGAAACAAAACAAAACCATCTGGTTTCTCAGGCCCTCCGCTGCCCCCACGCTAAAGAGCGGACCGGGGGAAACTACCCGATCCCACTCTCAGCACTAACTCTCTCCTGATGCCACGCTCTCCCCCTCCCACCGTCCCTTCCCATCTTGTTTCCCAGTCGCCAAATCCTGTCGCTCACTTGATTTTTTTCATGAAACGTACACCTCGTAGCGTGGCCCTGTTCCATCGTGTGGGCTTGATGTTCGTCGCGTGGCATCATAGCAGGGTACAATGTCAGTTGAGTGTTAGCTCCTCCGACGAGGAGTGAGCAAGGGCCACTGGATAAAAGGGCTCTCTGGAGCAGATGAGGAAATCCCAGAAACGCGTGTTCGTTTTGATCGTTCCCATCCGTTACGACGTGTGAAGAATGGGTCTGGCTTGAATCCTTGGACCGAAACAGAAAGCCGTTATTTGAGTCCGTGTGATTTTGCTGCACTTGTGAGCTTTGCGCCATCCAGATCTTGCCCAGTTAGCGTCGTCAACATTGGCTATTGGCCGTTTACTAGGGAAAAAAAAAAAAGAATATGGCTTGTGTTCACAGATAACCTGCTGGAGGAAAAATCAGAAGGGAAGAGCTCGGCGGACAAAGAGGAGCAGCCTGCGGACGAAGTGCCCAAGCGTATGAAGAAGGCTGACGGCGGCACGCCCAGTAAAGGAAAGGTCAGCGCACTTCAGCGTCACTCGGCCAGGGGACGCACCCTGGTGCGGTTGTGCCCGTTTGAGGTCCGCAAATGAGAAGAGCTTCTCTTTGTTGTCGACGTCGCCGATGCGCGCGCACTGAGACCTAAAATCAACGGAATGAATCGGAAGCAACTTTGCACCGTTTCCCTCCAAACATGTCGATACAGTTGTTTCCTTGACATTGAAATAGTCCACTGCATGAGAAGGGAAGAGGAGGCAGTCCAAACGATCACGTTAGCTTTGGCGTTTTTCATGCCTTTTCAAGCATGTGAATTAAAACGACGACTTCAAATCGTAGAACTCTTCATCAACTTTTTGGGCGCCGTTGTCGAAAAACACGGTCAAATAAATGGTCCAAAAACACAATTTTGGTGAGCCTTGAAAGATCAGGCAGAATGCTCAGAAGGGTTATTTTATTTCTTTCTTTTTTGATGGCTAGCATTGAAAGAGTTCATCCCCCCCACCCCAAACCCCAACCTCGCCTTTGTATTGCTCCTGATAAGTCCGGCCCTGATCTTCCTGCCTGCGCCGACAGGTGTTTGACATGGAGCTGGGCGAGGAGTTCTACCTCCCTCAGAACAAGAAGGAGAGTCGGCAAATCGCACAGGAGCTGTCGGACCTCGTCATCTACTGCCAAGCCGTCAAATTCCCAGGTGAGCAGACTTTTCCCCTTTCTTCGATGCCGAGGCACACCGCTCCCCTCTCGCTCGCTCTCTCTTTTTTCCCCCCCCATTGAATAACTTCAACAATCAATATCCACGTGTCACACGGCACTCCTCTCCCGTAGTCCGCATCCACTAAGATGATGAATCCCTTTCCTCCCCCTTATGAGTTTGGACAGCGCGGTTGTTCAGCTTGAACTTCCTGCTGATGTGCTCATAAATTCAACAACTTGATTCCTCGCCATCGTTTATCTGCCCCGAAATGTCTCCTGCTTCTTCTTGCCTCTGTGCTCCCTCAACGGCTCTCTTCGTCGCCCTCATAAAGCGAGTCTCGTGTTTCCCGCCGCTCTTTTATTTTGTTGACCCGAGCTCAGACGGAGACCAGCGACAGTGAGCGGCTGGCCGCCCCCCGCCCCCCCTCGTAACCTTTTACGAAGTGCGCAGGCCAAGTTGAAAGGACCATTTTTAACCGAGTGGGGCTAATGATGTTGTTTTTTCCATAGCAGTTTCTCATTAGAAATAGGCAAGGTAATTATTTTTGGATGATCTTCCTGATTTGCGGGACCCCACGCAGGCTTGTCCACGCTGTCTCCATCCGGTTCGGCCAGGGGGAAGGACCGCGGCAAGAGCAGGAAGTCCATATTCGCTACGGCTCCGCCGCGCCCCGGCCCGACGGGGGAGGTCTCGACGCAGAGCCGCGCGCCCGGGAAAAGTAGGTCCACAAAAAGAATCGCGCCCTTTGGAGGCGAGCTTTCGATCCGAGACCCGTTTCGTTTTAGAAACATCGCCGGCGCTAATGCGAACGTCAGTGTTAAAAGGCCATTGACGTGCCAACAGAAAACAAGCATTGCGTTCCGCCAGCGATGTTCCTTCAAATGATGAATAGTCAAAAGGCCACAGAAATGTGCCGGGCGAGAGCAGCTGGTATCCGTTTTTGGTTTTTCACCTCTAGGCAGCGCCGAGCGTCTGAGCTGGGACGAGCAGCAGCAGACGCCGCCGACCTCACTCAGCGCCATCATCCGCACGCCAAAGTGCTACCACATCTCCTCGGTCAACGAGAACGCCGCCAAGCGCCTGTGCCGGCGCTACTCGCGGAAGCTCATCCGGCACACGGCGTGCCAGCTCCTGCGGACCTACCCGGCGGCCACCCGCATCGACTCGGCCAACCCCAATCCGCTCCTCTACTGGCTGCACGGCATCCAGCTGGTGGCGCTCAACTACCAGACGGACGGTGGGCAAAAGACGAGGAGGAAACGTCGCGTGCGGACAAATGGCGGCGACTAAAGTCGTTCTCCTTTGGCCGCAGACCTGCCCATGCATTTGAACGCGGCGCTGTTCGAGGCCAACGGCGGCTGCGGCTACGTCCTGAAGCCGGCCGCGCTGCGGGAGCCCAGCTGCCCTCTCTCCCAGCACGGCTGCCCCGCGGAGAGAGACGCGGACGGAAGCGGCCCGGCCGTCTACTCCCTCACGGTGAGCGCGTACGAGGGGCGCGTTTTCGCCGACGTCGACGTACGCGTTCGGTCAACCGCCTATGACGCACCGGCGCCTTCAAAGTGCTCCGGTCGGCTTTGTTTCGGTGTGTTTGGACAGCTTGACGATGAGGTGCGCCGTTCATTTCGCCATTTGACAGCCGTGAAAGTAAACAGGATGACTTCAGCGGTCCAATAGTGAGCGGTACCAGAGCCTCATCAAGTTTTTGAATGAGCCTGTTCAGTGTAACAAATTGGTCATGTTTGGCCTCATTCGATTTTGAATTGAAAAACAAATGTCAACGATATGGCGAGCTATCATTTAAAAAACTTTTAACGCGTGCGTGTATATGTACAGTACACGTACGCGTGTACGTAAAAATGTCCGTTGATCACGGGCTCTTCCTTCCCCCTCCCCAAGATCGTGTCCGGCCAGAACGTGTGTCCGGCCAACGGCTCGGGCAGCCCCTGCGTGGAGGTGGACGTCCTGGGCGCGCCGGGCGACAGCTGCCACTTCCGCACCAAGCCCATCCACCGCAACGCGCTCAACCCCATGTGGAGCGAGCGCTTCCACTTCAGCGTGCACTTGGAGGAGCTGTGCTTCCTGCGCTTGGCCGTGGTGGAGAACAACAGCTCGCAGACCACCGCTCAGAGGACGCTGCCCCTCAGGGCCCTCAGACCAGGTCGGGAGCGAGTTGGACTCGCGCGCCCGCCACCTCACCTTCTGTCCTCTGACCGCGCTTGCCGGCCGCCTTTCAGGTTATCGACACGTGCAGCTGAGAACGCAACGCAACGAGCCCATGGAAGTGTCGAGTTTGTTCATCTACAGCAAACGAGTCCAAGAAAGTCCAACGGGCGGCACGGGTTCTTCGTCCCAGGTGAGATGCAGCCGTTTTTGTCTCCAGGGGAGGGGGGGGGGATCCCATCTCCCCGCTGCGTTCACATTCACGGGCAATTCGTTGTGTTGTTCCGTCAGCCGTTCGACCCCGAGGAGAAGAACGCGTCGCAACAGCACAGAGTGACGGTGCACGGAGCTCCTGGTCCGGAACCTTTCACCGTGTTCTCAATCACGGAGCACACCACCAGCAAACAGCTGCTAGACACGGTCGGCGGCAGATGACGTTTAAATGAAAGCGAGCGCCTTTTGACATCATTTCAGTTGACCTCGGACTGCCATCCGACCCCCCTTCCTCCTAGATCGTGACCTCCGAGGGGAATCTCGCCGACTACTTCCTGTGCGAGGAGACGCTCCCCCTGTCCAAGGAGCGCGGCTGCGCTCGGCGTCGCCCGCTGGCGCCCGACGAGGCGCTGCTCCGGATGGTCTCGGGCTGGGACGCCGAAGACGGCCACGTGAGGCGGATCTCTCTCCGGACCAGAGAGGAGGTACGCGCGCAAATCAGCCCCGCTATTTCTGCTTGCTCGTTTGCGGGAAGGCTGCGTGTCTGATGATGCTGCGCATCAGTTAAAAAAAAAACTGTCTTTGATTTGAAAGGGCATTTTGGATGGGATTTCATCATGCAGGCGTACCGAACAAAGTGTCCGGTGCTCCCGAGCAGGTTCTGATGCGATCTGTGTTCTGCTGTTAGAATCTAAATGACAAGAACGCGGCGGCAGAGGGTGAGGAGGAAGTGTTCACTGTTGGTGGGGGAAGAGGAGGACAAGGAGGGGAAGGCGTCGCGGAGGAGGACATGTTTTTAGTCCAGGTGCACGAGGTGTCCCCGGAGCAGCCTCACACCGTCATCAAGGCCCCGCGCAGCAGCTCCGCCCAGGACATCATCCAGCAGGTTAGGAGGAAGACACCAAGTTTGCTTTGCGGAACGTTCTGTTCTAAAGCCCCCCCGTCCCGCACGCCCCCACCAGACGCTGTCCAAGGCCAAATACTCGTGCAGCATCCTGTCCAACCCCAACCCCGGCGACTACGTCCTCATGGAGGAGGTGACCAAGGACGCCTGCTCCAAGAAGTCGTCCGCCGCCAAGCATGTCCAGCGCGTGCTTCCGGATCAGGAGTGCGTCTATCGCGCGCAAAGTCATTGGAGGGGCGCCGGAAAATTCATTCTCAAGCTGAAAGAGCAGGTAGTGTCGCTCCGTTTCTCCTCGGACCAACACGGCGCACGTACAGTGTGCCCTCGCAGGTTGGAATCGGCCGACCGCCGGAGCGCGATGAATAACCGTCTTGTCTATGTACGCCGGTGCAGGTGGTGCGCGAGGACAAAAGGAAGGTGATGTCGCTGGCCAGCGAGCTGAAGAAATTGACGAGCCGCAGTCGCGGCGCGCCGACGGGCGCGGCGGTGGACGGCGCCGCCCACAGTAAGGACGAGAGGGCTGCATGCTGCGTGGCGCTCGGCGAGCTGCACGAGTGAGCCTCGCGCTTCTGCTCCGTGCATGGGGAGCGCATCGGAGGTATCGTACCGCATTGTTGCCTAACAAACAGCCTTCCCTTGGCCCGAGTGGCGTGCTGTGGGGAGGAAGGTCATCGCCCTTACATACCGTTCGGCTCACGTTGGACGTTGTACTCTGAAACGTCGTGACTTTTTTTCCCAATCCAAAATACAGGGAGGTTCGTTATTTTTGGTCAAGTGCCGCACAGTTTGCCATGCTGAAATGGATTCAGATTTCGATTTACCGATCTTGAAGCTGTCGGGTTTTTTAAAAATGTTTTTTTATCGAACAGTGGTCACGAGGAAACTCGAAAAAGTCCCGAGAACTGTCCGTGTGACCACCCCGGATCCTCTCCGTGTCATGCGTGCGTGGAAAATGAGCAGTATGGAAGGGTTGATCAATGACCGTGCCATGCAGTGTTTATCCGCCACTCTAACCGACCCGTCGAACCTCGATGACATCGGCGGTCAACAACTGTCACCTTTGCAGGGTACGCGAGCGCGGGGCCGAAGACGCGGAAGACAGAGGGAGGGGTCGTCGGCGGGCGGGGATGTCGCCCGCAGGCCTGGTCCTACTCATCCAACAGAGGGCAGCAGAGTCCTGACGTCATCCCCGCCTCCTCCCTCTGCCCGGCGGCGGCGTGGAAGCTTCACATCCTTCAGAACTGGAAGGTCCACAAATGAGGGAAATTGTCGCGGAGGTGACATCCTTGCGGCCCTGTTTTCTCGCTCGCTTTGAAGGAGCGCGCCGCAGAGCTGGACCCGGCCGCGGCGGCGGCTTTGTGTCCAGGACGTTCGGGGATGGGTCAGCGCCACGGAGGCCGCGCCCGCGAGAAGCCGACGCAAAGTTTGGAGACGAGCTGGCTTCTTTACTTCCTGTCTTACTGTGTCGGCGATTTTGGGCGGGCAAAACGTGTCCAAGAAATGCGCATTTAAAGGTTCAAGCGGGACGCGGAACCTAATCATCAGCATTCAAGGTGGTCCTTTCAATGAATATTTTTGACACTTACTGACAAGCGGACTCATTCGCTATGAATGTTTGTTTGCCCTCAAAATGTTGCACTTGTTCTTTAGTTTTTCGACTTTATTTTTCTCCCTAATTTCGTGGGCATGTGCTCTGAAGCTTATTTCTTGTGGACTTTACCGGCAGGAGAAAAAAAAAACAATCATAAGAAGTATTTAAAAAGTAATATAGTATAAATATGTCCGGTCAATTTTAGGGCTAGTTCTTGAGAGAACTGCAGCATCAAAGATTTGCACGACGGCTTTATTTCTGAGCATTTTTGGGAGTTGTTTTTCCGAGGCTTGAAAGTGATGGAATGGTCCAAACAACAACAAACAGATCATCCCGATTTATTTCTTTGGATTTCAGCCCAGGTGAAAAGTTTGATTTGGGCCCCCAAACCTCAAACGTTTTGTTTGGCTTGACTTGACGAGGTTTCCCTTTTCAGTTTGAACTGATTGTGATGAAGAGTATGTTTGTCATATAATCAGCGACTTTTCAACACGTGTGGGGCCACATGAGTCTTTTTGATCTGGAGAAATGTCACATTTTGGATGCTTTGTTCAAGGGTCTTTCTTCCGAGAAAAAAAAAGAATACACTACGATATAACAACACTAAATGCTTTCATGGCAGACAAGCGCTGTCGTCTCTTTGTCCACTTTTTTACTTTGAGGGGTTGTTCGGCAGTCATTCACATTCCAACTTCCAACCTTTTTATTCCTCAAAAGAGAGTTTTAGATTTATTTCTGATTTCATCCACTCGAGAATAGACACAAAGAATTAATATAGTTAGGTTCATATAGTCAAGGGCCCATTTCTAATTTTGCCTTTTTTTTTTTAATTTTTTTTTTTTTTTTCGACACATTTTATTCATGAAAGAGGAAGGGATTCTGTCTTATGTTTTTTTTTCAGCTCTCTCTTCCCCACAGGATGTATTATTATTATTATGATGTATTTTAATGTTTGAGACAGATGTTATTTATTTGACATTTCAAGCCCTGGTTGGCAATGAACTGTTCTTTGGTGGTTGTGGTGTTGTTTTTAATTTAATGCATCGAAAAAAAGAGATTCTTTATTGACGGTGTAAATTGTGACACATTTTTCATTCATCTGAAAAGTCGACGATTCATCCCTTCAGTTGTTCTGGAGTTTCAATTTGTTTTTCTTTCATAAGTCTACTAGCTGAACAAAAGTAACACTGTGAGTTTCGAATATTTCGGTGTTCACTCATGCGACATAGCTCCACTGACAATTTGTTGACTTTGTAAGTGGTCGTTTCCACAAAGACGCACGTGAGCGTTGACCATGATGGCAGCAAAGGTTGTCTTCTGACTTGAATTTTTCATTGGATCAATGTTTGTGGATTTGTTGCATCGTGGAATCACAATAAAACTACAAAATGGTAACTGTGCTGTATATTGGATACGCCTGTGTTCATGTTCATAAGCTCAATGGCCAACTTTTTAGCGTTGCGCTTAGCCCCAAAAAAGAGCAATTTCAGATTTGATTTGGGCTTTGGCTTCCCATTTCCCCCAATGCAATTTGTATTGCGATGCATTGAATCGAACTGGGATCCAACAAAAGTCAACCGTCGTTCCGGTATCCTGCGATTTCAAAAAAAAATATCAAGTCTTCATGAATTTCTCGATTCCAAGCTGATGAACACGGCCACTACATCAGCACATAGAACTGATGTGGGCACTTTGACTTCAATCCATCTCAGAGCAGTAATTATTCCCGTTAATTCTGTTGTATGAAGTGACAAAAAAACACATTCCCTCTGTGTACCTTTTATTCAATTTGTGGATATAGATTTGTCCTGCGATTGGCTGGCAACCGGTTCAGGGTGTCCCCCGCCGACTGCCCGAAGACGACTGGGATAGGCTCACCCCGCCCCCAACCGTGACCCTTGTGAGGATAAAGCGGATCGGAAAATGGATGGATGGGATATAAGGTAGATCCCAATTCCAAAACGCCCATCTGTAAATAATATCTATACATGTATAAAACATATTTACACGTAAGATAACTTTCACAGCATTGTCAAAATTGTGTTCACTCGACGGTCATACCTTTTAATCGTTGTAGTAGGTCAACAAAGGCGCAGGCAGGTCTTGAGCTCCAGCGAAACCACCTTTTCAAGGTCAATTAGCGCCCTCTATTGGTGGAAAATTGACACTGCAGTCAGATTTTCCAGGCTAATGAGGTGCACGTCACGTCAGGTGTTGTTGTTTGGCACTATGCCGCTGTGCACACCGAATGCCCTTCCGGGTGCTTCCCTGTTGTTTTTACCTGGATGCGGTCCCGGATAACATACACGCGCTGCTTTGGGATTAAGTTCAAGATTTTTGCCATTGGGATGTCATCGTTTGTGACTGGGATTTCAACCGTCGCCCCCCCCCCCCCACACCGTGTCCAGGACAGCGATGCACCGCTTTGCTCAGCTGCAAGGTAACGCTTTTTTCTTTGTCGTTGTTCTGTCTCAAGTTTATGGACATGACTTTGTTTGCTAGTCTTTAATATCGGCTGACTGTCGCGTTACTTGACGGGAAGCTAAGAAAACGCATTTACGGATCTGGTGTTTGCAATGACGTGTAAGCAAGTGTTGCCACCCAGGCTGAATATGGTGAAAGCGAGAGGCGTTCGGATAACTGATTCTAAAACTGTGGCCGCTCACTCAGCTCGTGTTCATGTTCAAAAAGCAACCCGGCAAACTTTTTTCACGTTTGTCGTTGTTCTGTCTCAAGTTTATGGACATGACTTTGTTTGCTAGTCTTTAATATCGGCTGACTGTCGTGTTACTTGACGGGAAGCTACGAAAACGTATTTACGGATATGGTATTTGCAATGACGTGCAAACAAAAGTGTTGCCACCCAGGCTGAATATGGTGAAAGGAAGAGGCGTTCGGATAACTGATTCTAAAACAGTGGCCGCTCACTCAGCTCGTGTTCATGTTCAAAAACCACCCGGCGAACTTTTTTCACGCGCCGCTAACTTGGCGTGTCAAGTGTGCCGCTAACTTGGCGTGTCACTTGACTTCGTCAAGTCCACCTCACGCTTCATCGTGAAACGCTATCGGGCTAATGTGACGAAAAATCTCTGCGAGCTGGAAGAAGTCGCTCGGGAGAGCAAAGTCGGAGCTTCCTTGCTAAAGGCTGCCATTGCCGTCATCTCGCTCGCGAATTACAACGCGTCTCATCCATTCAGCTCCAGAAAAAGGAAACGGACGCACATCGGATGACATTTTAATGTTGACAAAGCGGCTTGACGAAAAGGCCGTAGCGACGTCACAAGTCGATGCAAAGACAGTTTGCAAGATGAGCTGGGATACTGAAATTGAAGGCGACGTTTGATGACTTCTTCGGCTGAAAGTGACATAAAAATGAAGTGCACTATGCAAGTCTGACATGCTGCTTTGCTTTTTTTGATCAATGGCCATTGAGCGCCCATCGAAGATTGACTCAAGATTGTTGTTGTTGTTGTTGTTGTTCTGGATGTCAGTCACAGTTTGGTCATGGGGATGTGAAGGTTGTTCCAGGGCCCCATCCACAGCTCGTCCTCGTCCGACTGCGTCCTCTCACTGGGACACCCGGGAACATCCCTCATGACCGGGCCTCGGTCTCCCTCGCCGTGACTGCCGTCCGCTCGGGACTCTCTCTCGCCCTCTCCCGGTTCTCTGTCATCGCTCGTCCCGTTCCGTAGTCCCCCGTCCGTCCCCCCGTCCGCGTAGGAGGGCTGCCCCGTGCTGGCGCAGCCTGAAGAAATGCTGGATTGTCGCGTGTCGAACACGTTGACTGTCTTATGGATGTCGGAGTTGGCGAACGAAGGGCTCGCGGGGCCGGCTGGCCCCGAACTCTCGTAGGCGCGCAGGCTTTTGATGACGCCGACCGCCGCGGGTCCGGCGCTGTTCAGGGGCAATTTCTCCTCCGGCGTGGCCGCCATTTTGTCCACTTTTTTGAAATGCTTGGCCAGCCGTGAGCTGAAGGCGGGCGACGGGGGCCTGCGCGTGCGCACCACGGAGCCGTTCTGGGCCACGTAGAGGCCGCCGTTGACGTCGGCGTGGTTAAACGTGGCGGCGGAGCGGCCGCGTTGGGGTTCCGGAGCGCTGTCGTCTCCGGTGGAACTGGTCTCGTACTCGCGGTCCAACACGAGCTTGATCCGACGCTTTCGGCTGCCGTGCTGCGAAATGGACACAAACGCAAGTCAGTGGACCTTGGCGACTTTTGGGCGCACTGGAAAGTGATTGACTTTCCAGGTCAGGAAAGAAGGTGACACAGAAGGCCTGCTGGGAGTTGGAGCAAGGAAAGAGCGAGGCTGCTCCGAAAAGAGGTTCCCAACACCGGGAGTACCGAAAAACGACTTTTTCACCAAGAAGCAACAGGCGCAGGAGAATCACGAGTCAGGTCAGTGCTGATACTGAACCGCTTGGCTTTTTTTTTTTTTTTTTTTTTACGATAAGAGGACTCTGTGACACGCGTCAAAGCCACACCGAGAAAGCAAAACAACGGTGGCGTCATTGCACGCAGATCACGGCAGCACACTCCAAATCTTACGTCATGGCAAAGAAGCGGAGCGGGTGCGCTTGGGCCAAAGTCCTGCTGACGAAGCGCTCTCTAGGCGCTCGTCTCCTCCTCGGTGTCCTCCATAATGGGCGGCAAGGCGTCCGAGAGCTCGCCGGTCTGCGCCGGTGAGCGCTCCTTTTGGTCTTCATTGGCGAGGTCTCCATGTGTTTTCGCTTTCAAAGCAGAAGCGCGTCCCGGGCCTTCCGCCTCGTTCTTCTGACGTTCGCCGGCTCCGCCTCGTATCTTGGGACCCTCCGGTACTTTTCTTGCCGATGCGGCTCTCGGACCACCGGCGTCTTCTCGCCCATCGCTCTCTGACGGCGACTCCCTCTCAGAGTCCCCTTGCCCGTCCCGGCCGCCGCTCTTTGACCGGGTCTCCGTGTCCGACTCGGTCTCTTCGCGCTCAGTCGAAGTGCTCGAGCCGGGAAGGTCGGAGTCGCCCAATTGCGAGTTTGCCCCCGCCGCCTCCCCCACTCCGCCGCTCTGCTTCCACCCGACACGGCCGCAGAGACGCTCGTCTCGCCGACCGAGTGATCCGTCCCCCTCACCCTCCCGCCTCCTCTATCTCCGCCTTTGCGCCGCACTTGAGCCCCCGCTGCGGCGGGGCCTCGCAGCTTTCTGTTGGGGGAGATAAGACCGAGGGCATCATTGGGCTTTTGTTTCCGCGGGGACCGGACAGCCTCGGCGGACCCCCGCCGATAACTCCTGTTGATGACAAGACCGCCATTAGGGACCAAACCGGGAAGCTCCCCCCAGCGCTCCGGCCTGGATCCCTCTCGGCCGTCCTTCATCCTCCATATTTGAATCCTTTCATTTTCTTCCCGTCTTCTCGCGGCGGCGTTATTTCTCTCGGCCGGACCCCCTCTGTCCAACTCCTTTCCCGCAGCCCCTCCCTCTCTTTCCTCCAACCCCCCTCGACCTTCACCCTCCAGCGGTTGGATTCTGGCCTTGTTCCACGGCAGGTGGATGCCCGGGGGCCGCCCATCCGCTTGACCGGAGGGCAGCAGCGAGCTCACGAGAGCCTTCAGCTTGGCCGCGGGGCCCAAATTCGCCGGCTCGAAGCCATCTTCGGGCGCTTGCGTTTTGTCAGTCGCGAGGGGCGTCGGATTTGTTTTTGCGGCGACGTTTGGAGGCCGGGGACGAGTCCAGCGGTAGTGATGCTGGGGTGCTAATATGCCTCCTTGAAATTGTCTTCGAACCCGCTGTCATGGAGGCATCGTCCCAAAAAACAGAGCAAATATTTTAGAGGAGGAAAGCAACAGTCCGAATCATGCAGTCATGCAGACATTTTTTTTTTTTTTTAGGCAGCAAAGGACCTCAACTAGACTTTAAGAAACAGGCTAAGCCTTAGGTGGCGCTCTTGTATTGTTAGTCGCATAGACTCAGCATCCTTTTTAAACAGGAAGCGGGAGCGGGCACATTTCCACGTAAATTGACAGAATGCTCCTAATTAAGAGACAATCGAGTCCACTTGAGCCGCTATTCGGTTCTGGCCTGCTGTGCCGTGCTTACCTCCGCATCGGATACCTGCGGGCTGTAGTAGTAGCTGCCGTCGTCATCGACGACAACCTCTCCGTATTCATCATAGAGGCCGGAGGGCGAGATCAGCTTTCGTCGACTGCCGTACCGAGGAAGGTCGTAGCTGGAGACGCACACGAAAGCGGCTTCAAAGAGAAGCCGAACGCAAAGACGGCGGATGTTCTGGATTTGTGCCGAAACAAAGCCAAGGAACATGTTTGTGTTTTGTTTTGCCGGAACCGAGCCAATCAGAGGCGGAGACAAGAGCAATCGGCGTAACAAACCCAAGATGATCCCGAGCCACTTAACGCGGCGGCGTGCGGGGCGGCATCGCAGTATGCTCCGTGGACGGCCGACAAAACCCGATTTCATGGCACGAGGAGCGTTTCCAAGCCAGCGGGCATTTTGTTAGCTCCAATGACCGCATTCTCACAGAGGGAAAACGTGACCCCTTTGTTGGGTTTGTTTTGCGCATTGTTCGCCAACAACTTTCCCAGCCTTCTGTGTTTGTCGGAAACTTTGTTGAGTGCTTTGTCTTCCGGCAAAGCTTGAACCCGAACAAATGCAACAGACACGGCGATGAGATACGAATCCCGCAGGGTCGCGGCTTGTAATTTTGCCGCTCCCGTTTATGTACACATTCGAAAATGAGCCGGTGGCTTTTGCCGGGAGCCAGCAGCATCTGGCCTATTGTGAATGTGCGCGCGTGTTGCCATGGCAGGCCGCCCGATTAGCGCTGTCGCTCCACTACCTAGACCGAATTAGCTTTGCGCCGACTTCCGAGCGCGCATACGTGTGCTGAAGAAATAACGAGCGAGCCTTGCAGTTGGTGAGCTTCTCTTCTACATGGAAAAACGCGCCGGCCTTGCTTATCCGGCAAAAGATGACCGGAGAAGGTTTTTACAGTCATGCGTGCGCATGGACGCTGTTGGACAATATCGCTTTTTCACGATACCTCGACGACTAGTTTGAGTTTACTTTGGACTGGGCGGCACACATAAACTACCGTCGTTGCTTAAAAACGCGATCTAGGAGCCTGTGAGGGAGCATCCGCTGTAAACTGAAAGCAAACGGTGGGGGATGGGGTGTCAATTTGAGGCGAGGCATTCATTATTTTGCGCGCGCTCCACTGATGTCAATATTTGTGGAAACGCATTCATTCCATTTATTATCAGCAACGGTATGACAAAAATGTTAAGAAAAGAGAACACTGTGGGAACACGAAGGGTCTTGGCGTAGGACCTTGAGGGACACCGTAAATTTGTCCAGGAAATGAACAATAAGGACGGGATTACTGACCCTCGATCATAGTTGCAGTACTCTTGCGTATAGTAGTCCTGACCCGGATCGATGCCGGACTCCATGGATAACTCCTGGCAGAAGGACGGGCCGTTAATACAACGTTGACGCACACGGGCAGACGCGCTCGCGAATCGCTTCCCACAATGAGTCAGCAAGAGGTCAAAGAGAAGAGAGCGAGAGTACCTCAGGTCTGAGGAGAGAAGGTCGGAGGAGTTGTTGTGACTTCCGGAAGAGAAAAAGAAGCAGCGGATGAGAACTGAAGTGAGGACGTGCGGCGCTCGCTCACAAAATCTCACGCGGTCGTGTCTCCAAACTCGACGCGTCTTTGTCACCGTTTTCACTTTGGGCGGCCACAAAAATGAGTGGCGTCTAAAAATACAACTTTGTGCTCGCATGTCGACTTTGAACACGAGGAACATGCCGTTGGAAAAGGCGATGACAATCGCCTTTTTTTTGTTTTTTCTTTTAGTATCAACGAACAGAAAAGAGAGCCCAGCATGCGAGCGAGGAAAGCCAAGGAGCAGCCCCATGCCACGGCGGAGAGCGGACGGCGAGCCGACACCTACCTCCTGTTGTCCGTACCTGCGGCTGCGGGACGACACGTGCGGGGGCGGAGGGGACAAAAAGGAAGAGGAGCAGAGACGCGCCGTAAGTCAATCCGGCTTTCACATTTGACGTGACGCGTTCCGTTCCGATTCAAAGCCGCGCTGGCAGACATTTGACATTTGCTGAAATTTGAAAATGCATGGAAGTACATGCGCAGTGTGTGTGGGGCTGTTCCTGCTGATCCAGGCCTGCTTTTTTTTTTTCTTTTCCCCTCTCCTTCCCCCCCAAAAATATCGGGTCGTATGAAGGCTGACGATACCAAGCATTGATAGTGAGGGCAGTCACATTTGACCTCCAGTAAGTCTTCCTTGTCAGTTGTTGCCGCTACACGGCGGCGCTTTGACACATCAGTGAATCAGTGCTCAGTATTGCTGAGCACTTAACGAGTACTTGGACTAGTATCGGTTTGAAAAAAAAACAAAAACGTATAGTATATTCCTTCTTGACATGATCACGATGCTGCTACGGTGGACTACTGCTGCGTCGCAAAACGTAAAGTACACGTAAACCCCCAAAAGACGGCACTTGAGACGGTTTTTCTTGAAGCGCAGACGCACGACGGGACGCTTCGCTGATGACGCCCACGAAAAAAAAAAAAAGCTCGGTGCTAAAAACAAGAAAGATGGGATGAGGTGTTGAAGTAAAGGTGCCAATGGCAAAATAAAAGACGCCCGGTTGAGCGTGAGCCGGTCGCAAGAAAGATAGACACGCCGGCTCAGGGAGCCCACGAAGGCGTGATAAAACAGATGAATGGCTGCTTTAAAAGGTGCTTGGCGGGTCATCCTCCGCTTTGAACAAAAACAAGCACTTTGGCCGTCTGCACAAAGATGAGTCTATCCTTGTGCCCTCATTCCTCTGACAGGCACATGATGAGTTCTTCTGGAGACAAAAACCCTGCAGACAATCTGTGTTCTGTCACAAACGCGCATGGAATGATTGACTCTTTTAGATCCTTTCCACCTTGACTTGTTGTGTGGGCGTGTGTGTGACAGAAACATCATTTGGCAAACATGAGATTGGTTTCTTCAAAACGCAGCTGACAATGGCCCCAAAAGACGGCATTCTTTGGCCTGTTCACCTGTCAATCACGTTTCGAATCAAAAGGACGCCTCTTCTGACGGAGACCAAAAATGCCTGACGGAGAGCCGGTTGAAAATGTCCTCATTGGATCTTGGGTGACTGGATAATTTTCGCATTCGCTTGTCATTCAAGATCATGTTGTTTCCGCCAAGTGATGGTGAATATACAGACCACAGTTAGCGAAACTCTCGGGTACTTTTCGATGACAACAATTCAATTCGAGCGCATTTTTGCGGCCGGGCAGCGCTAATCTTGCTCAAACTGCGACCGTGGAAAGCGGCGAGTTGGTTTTCGCGACCGGTTTGCATTGATAATAATTGCTCCCATTTTCTCGGACTTGAGGTCCATCCGTTTTATTGACCGAGACGTCTCGTGCAATCGATCCCAACAGGTTGTGATGAAAAACGCCGACGCTACATGAGAGAATTTGACAGAAAATCTACCTTTGGAAAGAGAGTGGCGAGAACAACACAAACTATGCGAGGGAAAAGGACATTGGTCACATTCATGCCGTCACGATTTCCCCCAAAAGAAGCGTGTTCAAATGCACTTGCGCTTTGGCTAAAATTCAACCGCAAAAGCCAATGGGGCATTGGACCAAAAAATCGGAATCAAGAAATAAAATAAAATAAAATAAAATACAATGAGATGACGATTACGATCAGATCAACAACGGAACAATGCGGCGTCTATCGACTTGTAGCAAAACACGAGCAAAGGTTATCATGTAACCGGCAGATCTCCCTCCGCAAATCTCCCAGCGCAACGCCGGGAGATCCTGAGCAATCGCTTCGCTTGAGTTGGAGAGATTTTTGCTTTGATACGTGACACTGAAGGCCCATTGAGCGCGCAGTTTACAAAAGAACTTCATGCGATGCAATAAGAGAAGAAATAATGAGCCCCGGCTGGTGGTGTGAGTTGTGGTGAAAGGGAAGCTCTGTAATAATTTGAAAAATTCATCATCATCATCATAAATCCATAAATAAATGCTCTCTTGACATGATTCACTTTTTTTTCATTCGAAAGCCACGCCGCGATATCTGATCATTACTGTCCAGTATATCGGCGCTGCTTAGGGTCCGGAAGCACGCGATTTTCCTTTCCACCGATTGGAGGTTCGTTTACTCTTGTGCGTTAGAGCGGCCCGACAATCCAATTCGGAATGGCAACGTCAAACCGAATTCCAGCGTGCGCGCTTGCGCGTCCGAGGGCTCAAGGCTAGAGGACCGTGGACTGAGGGGAGAATCGTTTCTCGAGCTCAACCACGATGGAGTTCATGTTTGGGTTTGGCTGAATCTGTTGAGGCGAAGGGTTCACTTCCCCTCCTGCTTCTCCCTCCGCCGCTCCTCCTTCAGCTAACACGTCCGAGGAGTCGAGCGAGTCCGCGGCGTCGGCAGACGCGCGGTTCTTCGTGACCTTTACGAGCGGGTTCTGCTTCCGATCGATCTGGCTGAACATGTTGGCGACCGACTTCTCGATGTCTGCGATATTCTGGATGTTTTTTAAAATGCCTTTCAGCTCCCTGCGGGGAGGCTCCGGGTCTGCGGGCGGGGCCGGGGGCGTGGGCCGGAGGGACACGGGTCGCAGGGCGGGCGCCTCCGAAAACGAAGGGAGCACAAAGGTGGAAGGTCGCGAGCGTGAGGGCGACGGAGGCGGAGG